GACCATCTGAAAGGCCACGGGGTCGACCTTGAAGGTGATGAACCGCCTGATGACGAGGAGAATGACGATGGCCAGCAGAAGCAGCGAGAAGAAGATGTCGCTGACGGAGAGCGAGACGATGAAGGCGTTGGTGCAGGTCCTGAGCGCCGGCGTTCTTGCCATGACAACGATGGTCAGCGTGCTGGTCACGAGGGTCAAGACCAGAGCGAGGCAGAAGATGCACAAAATGGCAAACTGGATGTCACTGTTTGAGCTGGTCCCGCTGCTGGTGTAGCTGATGTTGTTACTGATGCTGCTGTTGTTCATTCTCTTCGTGTATATCTTTAAAAAAAAACAGCGATTCGACTACTCTATACAGATCTTATAACTAATTCTATTTGGAAAAAAAAACACATCACAGATAAAGGGAAACAACTTGCCAACTATTTTTGTTTTGTTAGGCTCTCAATAACGCTCTAAGACAACAGAGTTCTCCACTAACTGAAGCACGAGATTTAATACAACACGAACGTTTTTTGGCTGAAACTCGGGTCATGATTTCCTGCTCGCCTGTGTTGAAAGAGGGTGTCGGAAGTACATTTTCCACAAACATCATTTGAGTCCAATACATCCATTGTGAATTACAACACACTTATGTTTTTAAAAATGGGAGATAAAGCAACACAATTTTATTTGAAATCTCCATGCAAACACCTCGTATATTCCTATTGAAACGTCACAGATTTTTTTGTGTTTTGCGTGACACACAAAAACATAAGTAGGCTACTAATGTCCACTGATGTTAAAAATTACCAAGTTACTTATATGCTAAGCAGCACACAAATTATTAATATCCGTGAAAAACTCCAGACAATATTCCCAGTCAGTGCAAACATCTGAATCCAAATTTATGTTCAAACTTTATCTCCAGTAGCGAATGTTCCTTTCCTGCAGCTTATTGATCGAATGCTAGACTCATGTTCCATACACCAGACAACCAGCATCTCACCCTAATGACGAATTCAACCAAGGATTTTTCTAGAATCTGAAATATATCTCCAGGCTCGCTTGTTTAATCTGAAAAATAGATAAAAAAATATATTTAAAAAAGAAATAATTATATTTTTTTGTCAAATGGATATCAGATGACCAAAATAATTGTGTGTTAGATAACCCCAAAAAATGTCTGGAAAAAATTAATTGACACGAGTACAAAGACGCGCCATTGTTGAGACACATCGATACCACTTGTCTGGTTCGATATTTTCTGTTCGATACCATATATCTGATTTAATACCGTTTGTCGTATTTCCCATACGCTTTTTTTTTCTAACACAATATTTTTTGCACCGCTTTAATTAATCGATCCTGTCTTACATGTCATGCTAATATTTTAAGGTGCGAATCCTATCGATTAAATCAACACTAGTGGCAGGGAATTATGGGAAGTGTCAGATGGTGCCAGGATGCAGCAATGTGGTGGTTACAGTTGAGACACCAAGAATGCCGTGGTGTTGTAATTAAGGCCCATAGTTGGACTTGGGTCAAAGTTAGCATTCTAGCCGGAACATGAAATACGAGACGCATACAATTAATTAGAAGTTCCTTGCCACGTATAGCGACATGACAAATGATGCTATTAATGGTCAAGTAAACGGCATGACAATTGATAATATTAATGATCAGGTAAAAATTAAATTTAATTAGAACACAAACCTCGATGGTTTCAACATTTGCCAATGTGAGTTACGTTCCCATGGATTTATAGGCATTTTTTTTTTTATCGAACTGCTATTTCAATTACCAATCAAGAACCTGCATCATCATTAATGTTGGATAATCTCGCACTAATCTACATCACGTGATCGCAATATGGCTGCCGCGAGCTACCTTTACTTCCCCCACCACCCACCACTCAGCACAAAAGTTTTTATCCGGGATCTAATTAAGATTCTAGCGAGAATGAGATCAGCAGTGGAACGAACTCATCTTCAGATAATGGATGCGGCCTAAAACGGAAACTGAAACTAAATGAAACCAACGGCATGAAAATAAAGTCGGATAAATTCAAACGGATCCTGAAAATATCCAAACCATTGACATGAATTTAATTCGGATAAGTTAAAATGGGTCCTGAAGATAAATGAAATCATTGACAGTAATTCAAGTCGGATGAATTAAAACAGATAAATGAAATGATTAACAGGATTCAAATTGGATGAATGATGAATTAAAACTTAAAGAAACAATACTATTCCATTACTTCTGAAGCCAAGATGTTAATAGGATCGGTGAATATGAAAGACGCTGAGACGAGCATTTTTTTGGCTGATTGTACGGAACAATCTGTGTCTATGTATGGAACAATCTATGTGCATATGTATGGAACAATCTCTGTGTCTATGTATGGAACAATCTCTGTGTCTATGTATGGAACAATCTCTGTGTCTATGTATGGAACAATCTGTGTCTATGTATGGAACAATCTATGTGTCTATGTATGGAACAATCTATGTGTCTATGTATGGAACAATCTGTGTCTATGTATGGAACAATCTATGTGTCTATGTATGGAACAATCTCTGTGTCTATGTACGGAACAATCTATGTGTCTATGTACGGAACAATCTATGTGTCTATGTATGGAACATTCTATGTGTCTATGTATGGAACAATCTCTGTGTCTATGTATGGAACAATCTCTGTGTCTATGTACGGAACAATCTATGTGTCTATGTACGGAACAATCTATGTGTCTATGTATGGAACATTCTATGTGTCTATGTATGGAACAATCTCTGTGTCTATGTATGGAACAATCTCTGTGTCTATGTATGGAACAATCTCTGTGTCTATGTATGGAACAATCTATGTGTCTATGTATGGAACAATCTATGTGTCTATGTATGGAACAATCTATGTGTCTATGTATGGAACAATCTATGTGTCTATGTATGGAACAATCTATGTGTCTATGTATGGAACAATCTATGTGTCTATGTATGGAACAATCTATGTGTCTATGTATGGAACAATCTATGTGTCTATGTACGGAACAATCTCTGTGTCTATGTATGGAACAATCTATGTGCCTATGTACGGAACAATCTCTGTGTCTATGTATGGAACAATCTCTGTGTCTATGTACGGAACAATCTCTGTGTCTATGTATGGAACAATCTATGTGTCTATGTACGGAACAATCTCTGTGTCTATGTACGGAACAATCTATGTGTCTATGTATGGAACAATCTCTGTGTCTATGTACGGAACAATCTCTGTGTCTATGTACGGAACAATCTATGTGTCTTTGTATGGAACCATCTATGTGTCTATGTATGGAACAATCTATGTGTCTATGTACGGAACAATCTATGTGTCTATGTACGGAACAATCTATGTGCCTATGTATGGAACCATCTATGTGCCTATGTACGGAACAATCTCTGTGTCTATGTACGGAACAATCTCTGTGTCTATGTATGGAACAATCTATGTGTCTATGTACGGAACAATCTCTGTGTCTATGTACGGAACAATCTATGTGTCTATGTATGGAACAATCTCTGTGTCTATGTATGGAACAATCTATGTGTCTATGTATGGAACAATCTATGTGTCTATGTACGGAACAATCTATGTGTCTATGTACGGAACAATCTCTGTGTCTATGTACGGAACAATCTATGTGTCTATGTATGGAACCATCTATGTGTCTATGTATGGAACAATCTATGTGTCTATGTATGGAACAATCTATGTGTCTATGTACGGAACAATCTATGTGTCTATGTATGGAACAATCTATGTGTCTATGTATGGAACCATCTATGTGCCTATGTATGGAACAATCTATGTGTCTATGTATGGAACAATCTATGTGTCTATGTACGGAACAATCTATGTGTCTATTAATGTCTATGTACTGAACAATATGTGACTCTTAAGGTAGAACAATCTCTATAGCAACTATCGTTATGACGAAAGATCTTAGGGTCAGAAAACAACATGACTGACAAACATCCCCAGTACAACAATGTCTACCTCGACCATCTCTGGATTGTAATCAACCTAACCACACATTGCGTTAATTAAAACTCCGACACGGTTCAGAAAATTGATTATAAAATAAATAGGACAAAGTTATAGAGCAGCAAGTCTCTTGTTCTACGAAGGGTTTCTGCTATTAAAGTGAAAGTTAGAAAACCAATTATTTCAAGTCGGCCCGACTGGGAGTTGAAAAATAAAACGAGTCAGAGACTTTATTTATCAAATTGTGTGACAATACTGTAATGTAACAATCATGTTAACATACCAGAATTACAATTAATTATAACTAAACTAAAAGAGAAATAAAGCTGAAAATAATACTACAATTTTATAATCCAACAAATTTGGTTACAAGTACTTTTCTCTCATTAGAAAGTAAATATTTCAAAATGAAAGCACAAAAATAATTTTTGTTATTTTTTTCTCATAATTTTAAAATAAAAATGATAAATAAAATTGTTTTAATTATCATGTACGTAAATCTTCATTAATGCCGCAACATTTAAATGCATTTAAACTAATTACTTTAATTGCTAAATTTAATTGCGGTAATCAATGTAAGCATGTTTATAAAGAATCGCGTCGACGGTACTGGTAGGGGTTGGGGGGGGGGGTCTAGAATGTAAGAATATAACTCAGGGGGGGGGGGGAGGTCTAGAATGTCAGAATATAACTCACGTCCGCCCATTTTATGACGACATTAACATTTATCAGATTTTATTTTATTTGCCACTGTCCTAGTCTTTAATGGCGACAAAACTCGTCAAAAAAAGATTTAGCCCTGGAAAGAATTGATGGTCGACTTTGTTTGATTGGTTTATAATTAGCGCGTTACCTTGATGGCTTAATAAAACGAGATCCGCTGAGTCTGCATTAAATCACAATAGACGTCATATTGCCTTTGTCATAACAGAATTCCTCTGATGAAGGTATGCTTTCTTTTTTGTTAGTAATATCTTGACTCGTGACTTATTTCATTGGAGTCCCTGAGTAGCAAAGAGCTGCAGCCACACCTCTCTACCAGAATCTGTTTTGGGCAGCTCTCTTTAGTTGAGTCCATGTAAACCCAGCAGCCCTTGCTTCCACTTCTACTATTCTCCTCCAGGATTACTTAGGCCGGCCTGTGTTTCTATCCCCCTGGGTGTTATAGTCCAACGCTTGCCTCACGATATTTTCATCTTCTCAAGGCGTGCACCCCTGTCTATCAGTTGTTGCTTTAGGGAGCCGGCGTGGTAGGGTCGGTAAAGGGCAGCCAGCCGAAAAGTTCCGAGGTCGAA